TTGTGGATGCACCCGAGATGGTTGTGCGAATAGTTCAGGCAGGATCGAGTTTAATCCAGTACGAGTGCGAACACATTTCATTCATACTCTAATGCGGTTAGAATTAGAAAAAAAACAACGAGAAGAAGAGGGCGCGGATCATGACGCTTCCGACAATCAAAACGGCCGTAGTCCGTTAAGGGAAATCAATTTGGGATCTGTGATGGAGAATAGGACCACAGAATCGTGTCTGAACGGTGGCGGATTTACAACGCTTCATTACGAGAATCACGACGCTAGAGACGGCGGGACGAATTGTCAGCCAGAAGTACCTGGTACTAGAGAGGATAGTCTGGATCTTTACGCAATTAGAGATGATTGTTATCCCAGCGAAGACACCGTTGATGGTACGCAGGGACCTCAAAGGAAACTTCATCCTGAGTTTAGCCAAGCTTTTCAAACATTCTCAAGCCAAACGAGTGCTGGAGTGACTTTTCAACAACCTACTTATCAGGATTATCAACCTTACGCTAACCTTCCTTCTACATCTAGGGTGCAATTTCAGCCGCAATTCCAAACGGTGCCAGGAAATCCAGGGTTCTCACACTATGCGCCTTACGGACAAGACACCGGATCAATTCAGGGGAACTGCCAGGTCCATCCCGGACAACACTCTTCCAACTACGAGGCTAGCTTCGCCCAAGACGAAACAACTGGATCGCAGTACACGAATTTGAATTCGGTGCAGCCAATGAACACTGTGGTTCAACAGATGGGTAAACTAGAACCATTTTCAGAACTTTTGTCTGGTAGATATTCGTATTATGGTGAAATGGAGCCTCCGGCGCATGGTACTTATCATGGGAACGGAACGAAGGTCGAGGTAGAAAAGAACCAAGGTAACGAGCAACAATCGGAAAGTACGGAAGAGTGCGACGAAAACTTTGGTGAGATTATTAAAAAGTCAATGGTTGAGACTGTATCCGCTTAGGTCAAACTGTAGATACAAAGAATTGTCTATGTGCAAATCCGTCAAATCGTTTTTGACCCATAATGATTTATAACGAAAAAAATAGAGTAATTTCGACGGATTTAATTTCCGTCGAAAACATCGCAAACAAAAAAAAAAAAAAAA